AGATAAAAGGCTAAAAGTAAGTATTTGGCATGGAGCATGCATAGCACTTTTTTTTTGGGCCAAGTAAATGCGAAAACGGTTTTCGCTTCGCTCTTGCATTTTGTGAACGTGCATGCAAATGGGGGTGACAAGTGGCAGCACAACACTTGGGACGCCTCTGCTTTATCCATCTGTACGATTAGCTTTAATGCATGATGGTCACAGAGAGAGGAAGACGTTATCTATAATTTGGCCAATGCCTTCTTGTTTGTTTTAAGTATTAGAACATTAATTGCGATACATTTTAATTTAATATATTATAAAATATATTTATTAAAAATTAATTTTTTATTTAAAATTAAAAAATATATAATTTTAAAAATACAATCATATATAAATAATGTAAAATTTGATTAAATTAATTATATTTATATCATATATTAATAACTAAATCAAAATTAATCAAAAAATATATTAAATCAAATATGTATCAATTATATTTTTAAATATTAAAGTACATAAATACTATAATATTTCTAAATTTTCCTAATTAGTGGGAGGAAAATTGTTTTCTAACAAGTTGTGCCCTTAAATTCTTGAGTGGTATTATAGAAATAATTTTTTTATCTTATCTTTTTATACAATTTTTACATGTCATTAAATAAATAGATGCATTCAATATGATCGATCGCACATCAATTAAAAAAATCAATTATTTTAATGACATGTCAGGTTATACACAAAAAAAAGATAAAATAATTGTTCCAATAGCATTTCTCATTCTTATTATAACCATAAATTTTGAAAGGAAAATAAAAAGTAGTGAGGACGTACACGCTTCTTTAATAAAGTTTGAGGTTAGTTTGGTAAAAGGGATAAAGGGAATGTAGGGTTTGAGTTTTATCTTCAAATATCAAAACTAAGGGTGTTCGTAGTGTGGTTTGGTTTGGATTTTAATATTTTTTAAACCAATTAAATTTAATCGATTAATAAAATTTTTAAATCAATCCAATCCATTATTATATAATAACAAAATCAATTCAATCAAACTTAAATCGGATCAGTGTGATTTAGTCGGGTTGATCAATTTTTAATACTACTAAACATATGAGATAATATAAAAAATTTTCACATTAAATAGAAAATATAATTGTAAAATACATTAACATCCAAATTACCAGAAACATAATAAAATGCACAAATTATAAATAAGTTCTTATACTCATTTACAATTGTAAAAATTGAAAAAATTTGAAAATTTTTCTTGACTACATTACTAGAGGCATCAAGAATAATAAAAGATAATTTTAAATTTTAAATACAGTACAAGTAATTCTTAAAGGTTAAAACTAATTTTTTTTCTTAAAATGCAGTAAATGATTTAATCTCATCTTTCAAACCTAGTTAAAAGCAATTAAAATTTAACATAAATGTCATTAAGAATGATTGGAAACATTCATAATTAAAATTTAAAACTTCTTAACCAAATATCCAAAAATAGTAAAATATCAAATTTAGTTATATTATATAGTTTTAAAACTTCTAGAATGATATTTCTTAAAATTTAATTAAGAGAATCATAATATTATTTTAAGAACAAATTAAAAATTTAGAGTTCTCAAAATAGAATCATAGACTAGTCATAAGAAATAGAATTATAAGTGAATTGAAAATTTAGAATTAGAGTTAAAGCACGATTTAAAAAGAAAAATAAATTAGAGAATATATGAATATTTTATTTTTATTTTTAAATTAAGTTAATGAAGTTATCATTTTATAAAATAAGAAAAAAATTTAAAATATTACAAAAAAATACTATATTATTTAATTAAATTATTGTGTAATGAGATTTTATTTTATAATCAGATAGTTCAGGTGGTTTGAAGGTAAAATTATAAACCAAACCAATTATATCGATTTTAAAATTTTATAATCTAAACCAATCCAATTTTATATCAATTTAGTTCGATTTTTTTATCGAATTTGATCAGTTTAGGTATGATCAATCGGATTGGATCAAATGTGAACACCTCTAGTCAAAACCCTTCCTCACCGTATTGTTGGAAAGTGAATACGTGGAAAGAACGTGATCTCCAGCCAAATTTGGTTAGAAGCTTTTCTTAGATGATGGACCCTTTGTGCGTTTTCCACGAAAGGCTAATAACTCTATATATATATGTGCATAAAAAAAAACTATTTATAGACATATATATATATATATATATTTATACTAATATCTAGGTATTTCAAAAAGTGAGTCACATCAGATTTCTTTCTCAATGTTTATTATTTTATTTAAAAAAAACCGAATTCTTTATACTCAACCAACAAGTTGTCGATGCTAATAATTATAAATTTCCCCTTGACCCAGATGGGCCTTTCTTAGAACGAATATTTGGTTTGTGAAAAACAACATTTGTTTTTTTATTTATAAAACTCGAATTTAAGATTTTATTTAATGAGAATGAATTTTTTATGCTCAAACCAACAAGTCATTGATGTTAATAACTATAAATTTCCCCTTGACCAAGATGGGCCTTTCTTAAAACAAATATTTGGCTTGTGAAAAATTTTCCTCTCTTGATATACCAAAAAACAAAATTTCCCCTTAAAGAAGTATGGCCAATGCTATAAGGACAATTTTTGTGTACAATATTTTTACATAACTTTCATAGATCTCTAAATGAGTTAATATATTTAATATTATAAGTTTCAAATGATAAAAATAGTTAATCATTTAAATAATATATAAAATTATACAAAAAGATAATACAAAAATATTGTCTTTAAATCATTTAAAAAAATTTTAGAGGTATTTTGATATTTAATTATTTATCTAAAACTATGCCTTCCATAAAATTTATCTCAAAATCAAAATAAATAAAGGATAAAGATCAAATTCTTATTAGACTTTTGCCCTTCATTAAACTTTCAAAGCAGGAAAAATTTTAAGGACAGAGTTGAACAGCATTTATTCATGAAAGATTTTTATTAAAACAACCTAATTGTGAGACTAGGAAATGCAAACATTTTTTTCTCAGTCACAACCGACAAATACTATTAATCATATACTCCTATTCCACAATATTAGTCATTTTAGGTTGAATTTTTTGTTTCCATTTATCTGTCATTTTGAGCAAATCAAGATTTCTTTAATTTTTATTTCCACTTTTACAAAGAAAAAGACTCTCCGCCTTCCTTCGTTTCATTTGAATTCTGAAAAACCTATAATATTCAAAATGGTTATTCAATTTCTCTTATATTTCCAATATATCAAATCTACTCTTATTGACGTTCAAAATTTCCATTTAACAATGGTTCTTAGAGTTTTGCCGTTGCAAATTTTAGAAAAAAATCAATGGAAGATAGAGAACCAAAGGAGGGGAAGAAATTTGTATTGTATGTTGATTTGAATGTGCGTGTGGTAGAAGGAATGGATATTAACCCGAATGCTTCTGCAGAAAAAGGGATCGACATTAACTTGAATGCCCCAGCTTGTCATGGATTGAATATTGACTGAACATCCCTACTAATCATGGAATGAATATTGACTTCAATGCTCCTACTTATTGTGGATTGGATATCAACTTGAATGCTCTTGCAGATCTTGGATTTAATCTAAACAAAAATGCAATACTACAAGTTTTTGTAAAGGAAAATTTGTAGCAGGTATATGAAGATATGTTAAAAATTTTCTCTTTCCATACTATTTTTAAGTAGTCGCTTTTGCAATATGGAGAAAGGGGATAGATTAGGAAATTGGAAACAAAGGATAGAGGCAGAAAATTTTCCATTATAAGGGGTTCTAACCTCTGGGTTTTTGGTCTAGCCTTTTCGA